TATAGATAAACAATGCTTCCAGTGTCAGGCAGGTATATATAGATAAACAATGCTTCCAGTGTCAAGTTTATTTTCAGATAAGCAATAACAAGCATATTTTACTATTTAATTTCTCATCTAAAACTTGAAACTAGTACACTATTGGAAGTTTGAAAGGGAATACACTCTCTTCATGGTAGTACAAAAATTACAAACTCACATGACAATGCTCTAGATATAGGGGGGGGGGGCATATAGTAGACTTGCCCACAGCAATGAAAGTCACCACTAATAATAAAACATACGCTATTAAACAGTTAAAATAACTGCTTCGAGTAATTACAGGTAAAACAGAATTCAAATCACCAAACTCTACTCAACCCTGCAAATCTTTGTGTTAGTTCAATCCAAGTGGTTGACCAATCACTATGAGGAGAAGCTGGGATTTCTTATTTTTTGCTCTAGAGTGCAGCCAGAGAGGAACGTGATACTGGTGTCCAAAACTGTTATTGTTTAAACACACTTTCTAAGAATTACTCATTTAAGTGGTGACAAATCAAATACTGACATTAAGTTTTATTTTTGTCAATTGTAAGCTTACAGTATAGTTTCCTTAATGATGTAGTTTCTGCTGTTAGTTTAAATCATTTTAAAATTGTGGGGAAGGAGTACATGGTGCAAAAGGATATATCTAATGTAGAATAAAATGTGGAATATTTAATTTAAAAATTGTAGACAGTACAAACTATTGTATTTTATCACTTTCACAGTTACATTTAACTTTAAAGTGCAATAAACAAATGTTTCCATGAACACAAACCATTATTTCTGTCTTCAATTTTCAAAATGCATTCTGATCCTTTAGTTACAATACGAAGACGTCCAGTAAAGTCTGGGGAATCCAATTTCCAATCAGCTGCTCTAAATAACAACATTTTAACTTGTTAGCAAAAAAACTTCACTTGTTCAAAATGCACTTTTTACACCAAAAACTAAATAGTTAATTCATAAAATGTATAAAAGGTTAAAAAAAAATCATGTATTAAACTAATTTATAAAACTACAGAGTTAATTAACTTAATTACTCAGTGTTGCATACATAGTCACTTGATCAAAATTATGATTAACTTGATTAATTTCATGACAATAACCATCAAAATTAATATTTTCAATTATCCCAACTATCAATGTAATAATAATATTTCCATTATGATTTTTCACTATTAATTTTGAGCAATTAGGGTTGTTCAGCTTAACTGTTTTGTGTCATGACACATGAATATAATCAACCAATTGAAATTAGTGTTTCTAATTATTAATATTTTCAATTTTCCAAGCCTCATATGAGAATAAACATTTAGTAGAATTTAATTTCAAAATAAGTCAGAAAAAACCTTCATTAATTGATAAAAATAGAATTTAAGCTCATTTACTAAAGATATTGCATTATATTTTCACTATAACTATGAGAACAAAACATTATGAGCAACAAACTAACTAATAGATAAAAGTAACACAATTTGGGGTCTTGTATAAGGAAAATTTACTTTAAAAAGTGCTCTTGCCATTAAGCTTTTTGTACCATAATTAAATTGAAAGGTTTTCCACTTTTAATATCTAGTAATACTTCTTTCTTAATGGTCTAAAGGATTTCTTTAAATGTTTTCATGAGCAAGTTCATTAACTTCATTTGATGTCAAGCACTTAGATAATGTTGAGAAATGACATGTAAAATAATAATGTTTAAGTTATTAAATGTTAACTTAATGAGAAAGTTTAAATGGTATACAACTTAACTTTTTAAGTTATAATAATTGTAGATATGTAAATCTCAGCTGTGACTCGTACAGCTTCCTAAACTTTAGGATTACTAATCCTGTAATATTGTTCTTTCACTGGGTGTTTTTTTTTAAGATTATTTAGTGAAAATAATTTTAAATCCAGTCCACATAACCACAAACAATCACTTTATTTCTTCCTTATCATTTCTACAAGCTCGTACAATATTATAACTTATAGGTCTAAGTTCACAACTGACATTCATATCAAATGAAATACCTCCCTACATAAAAAATACGCTAACTTATACAATTTCAGGGTTAATCGATTGAGTTACTAGATATACTCTATAAGTATAACTATAAGTGACAGTGTCACTGCTAGTCTCAAACTAAAGTTTGTTGAAGTAATTCATTTTCTAAACTATGATCTAGTTATATAATTAATACGATAGACTCACTTCTATAATTCTAAGAAGTACTACAATGCCAAAACAACTGTTAACTGTACAGCATAGCCCCATATCTTCAACTTATTACTATTATTAGTATTATTGGTAGTATGACGAAGTACGTTGTAACACCTCGCTGTCTGCTTCTTAGACTACAATTACATTAATCATAATAGATATAAAAGTACCTGTAACCTCGATTTGAGGTTCGTGGAGGAATTTTATAAATAAAAACTTCTTGTTTTACTAAGAGAACACGTTCGTACTCGTCCATCTTGAATAGCTAGAATTAGAAAACGCCCTCTTATTCTTTTTCTAACTTGTATAAGATAGAGGTCGCATGACAAAAAAATGAGTTTATTCGCTATTCACAAATAGAAGCTGTTAGACACATTTTATTCAAATTACCAAGAACATATGAAATAAATATATTTTTAAGCTGTATTTTTAATGTTTTAATTTAAATGTTCGGTAGAGGGCGCTTAAAGTTAAGATCTAATGGGCATGCTAGTGATAAGTATGAGAAGCAATTATAATGAGCGAATGTTATTCAGTCAGTGAAGTATTCAGATCAGTGTTAGTTATCGCGTATCCACATAATATAACTGTACTGTCTGTTGTCTGTCCATATAACTACTTCGCAGGGTGTAGATGGATTTTTACCAAAATTTGTACAGAGGTTCATTAGGTCTATGCAGTGGTACATACAAATTTTCAACTTTTCGTGTTGCGGTTTTTATGGACGTTTTTGCATTTTTTACCACTACCTCACCTCCTGTGGATGGATCTTCACAAAACTTGGTTTGGAGGCTCATTGGGTCCATGTGGAGATACATGCAAACTTGCTGTTTTACATTTTGTGTTTTGCTGTTTTTATGGGCGGTTTTAACAATGACATATAATTATAAGGGAAGCAACTTTTCCTTTCCTAAGATAATCTTTCATTAATCATGAATTTACATAACTTCCGTCCAGGGGACAGGTACTCCAGTTAGTATACAATAACTAAAAATTAGCCATGAAACACTAAAAGCTCATTTGTACTTTATTCCTAGTATCATTGGTGAGGAATTTATGATGAAACGTTATTCGTGATCTTAAGCCTAGAACTTGAGTATAACTAACTGTGGAAGTAGCCTGTAGAAATTTTATAAAAGAAGTAAACTAATTCGTTATCGTTAAAAGTCTAAAAGAACCCGACCCGACCAACAGTAGAACACATTACAATAACTCACTTCTGAAGGGAGACTGTTTTGGTGAAAGTAAATTAGAACTTTGATTAAACTTGAACTGTTTGACATATGACAACAAGAACACAGAGCGAGATAAAAAAACTTGCTAGAAATGACAAAACAACAAAAAATTAATGCAAAGGAAATAGACAGAAAATTAAAAGGAGGACAATAAGAAAGGTATAAAGAATTAAAGAAAAGCCAGAAGAAATTTATAGAAAAAAATAAAGAGACAGAAAAATATAAGATGACCAATATGAAATTTATAGGAAACTAAAAAACAAATGAAAGACATCAAAAATTAGATGAATATAACAGCAATTTTCACTATAAGTTAAAAGGAAGAGACGAAATATTTAAAGAAGGGTTAAGATGAAGCAATTAAAGATGTATAAAAGGATTATAACAGTAAAATAAAGAAAAACACGAACAAATTTCATTCATGTTGACATAGTATGGATGTAGAGTTCTAGTTGCAAACCAAAGTCACCTACCATGATTCTTTATATTTTACAGCTTCTCTGCACGGTGGACATTTAACTGATATGTAGGCCAAATGCTGCTTGACGTGATAAATTCATATTGTTGCTTCTCCGTTCGTTAGTTAATTTTTCGTATAATTTCTTCCCGAAGAAACTTTACCGATACAAGTCCTTTCTTAAATAAAACTGGTTTATTCTTTCTGAATACAACTTTGCGAAATACTTAATTTCAACAGTCGCGGTATAACAAACGCTATCACTCACAACGAACGTCTCATGTGCCCAACAATATTCTCTCTGTCCGCAGTTCAATAACTCAATACATTATTGCCGTCACGTTGTGACCGTCTTATATATAAAAGAATACCGAGATCTAGTAAACTCCCGATATTTCAGGAAGGGACGTGAACGTTCGGGAAGCTTGTGGCGTGATACTAGCGTCACGTGACCCCCGATGTCGTAACAATATGTAAAAGTGTCTGAAATACCCATACATTTACAGCTCACACTTGTTCACCACACAACAAAAATGTGATGATATCCCTCAAATTACTTGTGCATTTTGTTTTTTTTTAAGAATTAGTGATACATTAACCACAAACAGCTTTGCTGTAAAAAGAAATAGTAACATAAAATGACGGCGACTAAAACATGTGAAATTAAAATTGGCAGCCAGGTCAGTGCAGTAATGCTGTTGATGACAATGAATATTTTAATAGTAACAATTCAGGTAAACATTGTGTTACAGACTTCTAAGTGAAACATGCATAATTTAAATATTATGCTGAAAAAAGCCGGAGACCCCGGGACTTTTTTTTACAAAATTCCAACCTATTTTTTGACGGGTCGATCAAATCTAGGTTTTACATAAACCATAGCCAACTGCAATCGAAACAACAATAAACACACCTGATTGACCAAAATATATTTTAAAAATCTAATATTCAACCAATTCTAATTTTTCGAAACGCATTTCAGACAAATATTTTTAATGAACGGATACACTAAATTAAGAAATCAACAAACATTTTTCCAGTTTCGTTGTCTAGACATTTCATTTTATACTTTCAGTACATAGATTAACAACACTATTAGGTTATACTTTTGTTGCTGAGCAACATAACATAAAAACCATTGTTTAAAACGCACATCAGACAGAATTTGATTTTATAAACAGTAAATATTATTTCTCGAAAGGGGCCGAAGGCCTTCTGAAGGGATCACCTGTTTTAATCACTCGCGCCACAATACAGTAGTGTGTTGTCTGTCAGTTAGTCAGTAGACATGAAAATAACGTCACATAAGGAACACTTAACATTGCAACTTGTACTGTCGTGACGTCAGTAAGACGTGTGCATGTCATGAATAGAAGAATTATGCCAAGTAAAAAATGAAAAACATGTTTAGTGTCCGAAGTTTTCGCAAAATGGTCTTTTTTTTAATAACCTCTTTGAAAGAAATTTTGCATCCTTTTTTCATGAATGTTGCTTGTTTTCAAAGGGTCCATGTCAAACAGAAGTCTTCTTTGTTTCACTTTCTCATCAAAACGATACAAAATTTATGACAAATAAAGAAAAAAAGACAAAATGAATCAACTGTGTTCATCTTTTTATTCAGAAGTATTCTTTGTTTCTTTGTATGATCGAAAAACGATAATACTGTTGCGTCAGGGAGGTCACGTGACTAGTATCACGCCACGTATTTCTAGAAATATCCTGTTCCTTCGTGAATGCCCTAGCATTTGCTAGATTGGGGGTGGTCTGGTATATATAAGATGGTGACAACGTGACGGGACAACAGTGTAATGAGTAATTGAATGTATGCGGACAAAATATTGTTGGCCATGTGAGATATAGCGTTTGTTATAGCGCGACTGTTGAAATTAAGTGTATCGTAAAGTTGTATTCGGAAAGAATAAACCAGTTTTATAAAGTAAGGACTTGTCTTGCTAAAGTTTAATTGGAAAGAATTTACGGAAAAATTAATTAACAAACGCAGACGTAACAATACAAAAAAGGAAAAATTGACAAAAAAGTGGTGATGGGGGGCGACTACAAAAAAAAGGAAGGGGTAAGGGATGCTAAACCTTTTGTTTCATTTTGCATTATTTCTTAATTTTAGTTTTATTTACTTTTGAAACAGAACACTTTTGGGGACCCTGCAGAACGTTGTGTATAATTCGACGTTGAATCGTGAATAGATCAGGGAGAAGCAGGTAGTTATTCGCCCTTTTCCTCCTACCAGATAGTTGGATTTCCTGCACTTGAACTCAGGTGTTTTGGCTCGTCTGTATAGCTTGATGCCGGTTGTGGCAGCACCGTACAGGGTAATTTGCAATGTTTCACCATGGTTAACAAATGATGTGTACGATATAAGGTTGCTGGACTTTGCACTTTTTTGTTGGTCTCGGAATTTTTCGGTGATATTATTTCCCGGTTGTTATACTTATTTACAAACTGTTTGTAAATGAAATTTAACAGTTACCCTAGTCCCGGGTCATGTTCTTTTATGAAAAAGGTTGTAGGCTTTACAATGTGACAACGAGTGCTATATATGTCACATATAAAAACACAAAAATTTGTATTTAGTGATAATATAGTGTTTTGCTATTTATAACTTTAAACTGTGGCCGCCATGAGCGCTGCATGCCTGTCCATCGTCTCTCTTCACGCATTCCAAGTGGTCAGGTAGTGACGTCATGTTCAGTCAGCCAATCACAGCGCAAACACTATTTGAGGTTAATGTAATAGTCTTGGTTCAGCACTTCATCGTGTTTCGGTCGTAAACTGATCTCTATCTTTCTTTCTTTGTTTCTTTTTTTTTTTTAACAAAGATCAGCAACTCCCAAACTATGGAACCAGGCCTCTTTGGGATGCGCGGGAGTGGGCTAGCTGCGTGTCAGTTATTTATTTATTCAATTTTTTACTTTTTAAGGAAAGATTTGGTGATTTGAGGGGAAAAGTTAGACAAATATATGGAAGAAATAAGATAAAAATATTGCAAGTAATATTAGTTTATCTTTCCAGAGGGCACCCCTTAGTGGTTTTTTCACGCATTCTCTCAAATCGTAAATTATGGAGACATGCAATTGTATTTTCTTTAGCTTAAGGAGGCTCAGTGTGACAGATTTTGAGAATTACTGATCTAGATCAAAATTTGATTACAATTGTATACCACGTGACAACGCCTATTGACCAAACTTACAACTTCTAATCATGAAAATTTAATATTACTTTTTCTTCTTCTATTTAAAAAACACACACCAGTTTGCCCCCCAGTGGCACAGCGGTATGTCTGCGGACTTCCAACGCTAGAAACCGGGTTTCGATACCTGTGGTGGGCAGAGCACAGATAGCCCTTGTGTAGCTTTGTGCATAATTAAAAACAAACAAACACACCAGTTTTAAATATTGCAAAGCAGTCTATAGGTTTGAACCATATTCCATAGTATTTGGTTTTAATATTGAAAAGTTTTGTTTGGAAACAACGGATATAAATAAAAAAAATATATTTTATAGTTGTATTAGTCTTCATTTCTTGGTATATAAAAATGTACTGAAACATATTTTTAACATTCTTAGAGAACAATCTACCTGGAAAATATAAACACTAATCCATGTAGAAACATGTTAATGCGGTTAATTTGAATAAATTCAAATAAATTTAATTTTATCATCATCGACGTTATAAGATTACGAGCATTTGGCTGAAATAAACTTAGCAGTCGTTATTTGCGCACACTGTATGATTTAACTAGATGTCTCCTGGTGGGAGGTGGTAAGTTTACGGACTTACAACACGAAAATTCGGGGCTCGATTCCACGTTGTGGACACAGTAGATAGCTCATTATGGCCTTGTTCTAAAGCAAACAGTTAAGTAGAAAGTATTCAACAGAAATGGCTTTTTTAAATAGATGCTAATATTCATTTTCTCAGTAAGAGAAACGTATACTTGTTATACTGAGAATAATTTTTCCAGATTGCAAAACAAAATTTGTGCGTAATGGAATGAAGTGACATCATTCTATTGATTGTCGTTTTATGAAACTGTGTAGTAAAAATTCAGACATTTTCTTGCAAAACAAATTATGCTGATAATTGTTTTTTAACTTATATTAAAGACTACGTATAATAATTATTTTGATTAGAAAACTCGTTATATACGGTTTTTGTTATTATTATCAGAGCCTTGTTTCTAAATTTTCGTAAGTTAGCGAAATGCTAAAGTTCTGTGATAAGGTCTATAGCGTAGATACTAACAGACGTGCTATTTGCCACGTTAAAAAAGAGGCGTGCGTATAAGCGTTAGTTTGGAAGCAACTGGTGGTTGTCTAAAGTCAATCGTTACACTAGTAGAACTTTAGCCTATCGCCAAGTGATTGTGATAAGGAGGGTTAAACATAGAAGTTGGTGACGAGACAGTTGCATTTTTGTCGTATTTTTGAAGCTTGTAATTATTCAAGTTTAAAAAATAGGTAAGTTTTCTAGCATTTTTATATTATTATAGTGTACTGATACGTATAAAAGTATAAGCGTACGGTATTATTATAATTTATGCTGTACTGAAGTTAGTAGTACTACTACTTCCTACTGGCGTAGTACTCTACTAATACTGTGATAGCTGAATGAATATTATTTGGAGGATATTCATTCTAGCATTATTACAGTATTAGCAACTCTTATAGGCCTATTTTTTGTAGTAGTATAAGCTGTAGTGTTACTGATTGATGAGTTCTGATTTTACTACGCGTTACGTATGACTTTAATTTGTATTTTGTTGGTAATATAGGCGAATAGGAAATATTTCGTATATATACTAATGTTTATTTTATTTTTGTCAAAATATATGTAAACTTTAAACTTTCAGAGGTTAAAACTAAAGAGCATAATTATGATGCATTATGTACTAATTTAGTAACTGTGTTTATGTGAATATACTGTTGTATCGTTGTTCTTTCGTGGGCGGGTTATTTTAAAATTATTTTGTGAAAATAACTCAATATGTGGAAGAGGTCTATTAGAACCTGACCATCCCAGGTCGCAAAAAACCTAAATTCCGATGAGTGAACTGGCAGCGAACGTAAGATCATTCTCAGCACAGAAGTCGTACAGTACGGTACAGATTGGACTGAAATTGAAAAACTAAATTATGACACCCATCAAGCAAACTGCAAGAAAATCCACCAGCGGAAAAGCACCAAGAAACCAACTGGCCACTAAAGTTGCTCGAAAGAGCGCTACAGCAATAGGAGGCGTAAAGAAACCTCATTGTTACAGGCCCGGAACTGTAGCCACCGTGAAATCCGTCATTACCAGAAGTCAACTGAGCTGGTCATTAAAAAAAAAAAGTCAATGTTCAGTCCATGCGAGGAGAGCAAGTTGCATTATTTCATCCTTGAATATTTGTACACTGTTGTATTTTAGAGTAGATCTAATTGAGGTGTTTAAGATTGTTGAGGGAGTTGATATAGCGCTGATGCATCAGTCACCTTTTTTTTTTTTAATTTAATGATGAGAACTGTAAGACTAGGGGACACAAATTTAGGCAGTGTGGGACTCACCTTCAGCTAAGACGCTTTAGACAGCTTTATTTGTTTTAAGAGGGTCGTTGATGTTGATCGTTGGAATGTGGTAAATGCTATGAATTTAACTTTTAAGGGTGTTTAAGGAAAGGCTTGATAAATATTTGAATGATATGGGTTGGATTTGAGTGTTTTATTTTTGGTTTAATGTTTAGTTTAATATGTAAATTGTTGTAGGCATACTTTACAAATGATGTTCAAAACACTAACAATATTATTATTATTACTATTAGGACTAGTGTAAAATCAAACCAACTTATTTTTACTGAGTAAGAGTGATAAGTAACACACTAACTGTTTTGCTCTACTATCTTGAAACAGTTCTGCACTCTTCACATCTGCTTTTTGTAATTTAGTTTTGAATATGTTAGAATAACTAAATTTTCTATGTGTTTCTATGCTCTCTTGCTAACAAACAAATTCCAAAGTTAAGAATATAACTTGCAACAAATTAAACAATACTACCAGTGCAGTACAACTGCTGGTATAAGGATAAAATTTTGGTTCTACCACCTAGTGTGCGAGACCAAATTTGGGGGATTGGATGAGCTTCAGAGGGGGGTATCTGTTTCCAGTATTCAAGTTAGAATGAAACAAGTGTACTCTGATAAAGGGTTTTATTTGTTAAGCTAAAAAAAACAACAACTCTTTAGTGCCAAAATAACTCCCCTTTTAATATTTGTCCATGAAGTTTATGGGATTGGCCATCTTGTGTTCCTCTTGTGCAAAATACTAGAAGTGTTCCTGGTTGGGCAGGTATTGCATTTAGCCATTTTACATTGGCAAGTAAGCTTTGTTAAGCCTTCCTTGATCATATCTGTTGACAGAATTTATGAAAACATTTTAGAATATGGCTTTAGAGAGCTAAGTCATCTCTGATGCATGTGTGGCCACTACCATGTTTTGTGTGGGATTTTGGATTGGAGTATGGGTTTTACTTCTTCATAACCTGGAAACTAGTGTGAATTTGGCAGAGTTGTGGGCATTTCATATTCCAGATATTGCAAGAAGTTCAAATCTCTGTTCGGAATTAAGAAAAAAAAAGAGTATTGGAAAGTCTTGTTTGGGAATCGACTCACCAAACACGTCTCTCTGACTTGCAGACTGGGTGTTAAACTAATATTTGGAGTCATAAGAAAGATGAATGTGATTTTTTACCTTCGAGTATGTAAAGAAACAAAAGAAAAAACTTTGGGAATAATATCTATCAGTTAACTATTTTTGGCCAATATAAAGAAACATGAACAGGCGAAGTGCCAGAAGGCCATATCCCATCTAGATCAAGTGGAACTTGCCAATGTTAGCAACCCAATCTAGTTAATTTTCACCTTTCAAATTAGTATGCCTACTCATCAAAAATCTTAGAAGGAAGACCAAGGAATTCATGTTTTATCAGATGAACTATTCCACAATTTTTTTCAATGACAGAATAATAGTTATGTAGAAGACAAAGTATATGTGGGATTTCAGATGTGTTTACTGTTTATAACCCCTAATATTAAAGCTCACTTTTCCAACATTTTATTCTACCTGTCTTACAAACTATCCAGTTTAAAGACCTGAATCAAATCTTTTCTAATTCTTCACTTCAGTAATGTCAATTCTTTATGTTGCTTCATGTATGAAGTTTTTTAGCCAGGGGTCATTTTAATAGCCCATCGGCCGTACATTGGTATCCTTCACGTAAATAAAAAAAAACAGAAACACGTATACAGGTTATGAAGGTCCCATAATAGTTATTTCTCTTTTACTCATGATTTGGTGTATTTTTGAACATATTTGGAATTGTAATAAAAAAAACAGACTCCAAGTAGGAAATGTTTATTTTTATATTTGTCAACTTTAAACTAATTTGTATTAGAAAGATTAAATTTACAATAAAAAAATGTAAAAAAAACTGACGGTGTGCCATATTGATGTCGTACATCTCGCACCAAAATAATGTAATTTAGTGTTTCACATTTCTATATGTAGTCAATAGAAAGTTTACAAAGAATTTTTAAATATTACACATGCGTTACGTTATCAAGCAAACCATGCCATGTGTTTATACTTCTAACAGAATGCTTAATATTGTAAAGACAGTTTTTGGAAAGCAGATTTCAAACTTTACTTTAAATATTGCTTGTCATTAATAAAGTTAGGGAGACTAATGTAATAATATAAGGGGAGTACTAGTTATTTTGATCCATTTTGTGCTTGCGATACCAATGATACAGTTGCATTTCTTCGTGTCTGACTACATTATTTTTAGAAATATCACGTACATTTAAAATAAAAATTATCAAGCTTCCACTTTAACTCTTAAGACTTAAATGTAATGCTTACATTGTGAAAGTTCATTACTCTGGAAGTTAAAAGACTCTCTGGAGCTTTTATAACCCCATTATTTTATCTTGACCTTTCTAATCATATTTGATCCATCAGAGAACTTTTAGGAACAACTACTTCACATATGATAATAATGTATTTAGTTTGTGAGGAACTGTACACTTCTGATCAATGACTTGACTCTGTTTTTTCTCTAATCTTTTTTTCTTTTTCAAGAGCAAAGTGTTCTTTTAAATGTTTTGTACAAAGCAGGAAATTAAAAAAAACAAACTGTAACTGCATTAGTGACTCCCACACACAACACCATAGTCATCACATTCCTACTTTTTATGAGCTTTGTTATAATGTCCCATCTCTATTTTTTTTTAATCTTAGAAACTGTAAATGGTAATTTGCTCTTCAAGTATGTTTATAAACTGTTATTTGCCCTTTGCTCTTGTTTTTGATGTGTGGCATATTCATGATGTACTGACCTATTTCTAAAGTCACTTTTACCAGATGACACTTGCTCTTGTCTATGGTCATTTAAACCCATGTACTTTGACCTTGTATATCATCTTCATGTATCAGTTTTGAAAGGTCTTCTTTTCAGAAATTGTACAGAATACAAGTTACTACACAATTTTCATGTGTGTCTTGCGAGGATTACATACAGTTTCCATTATGGTGCAGAAACATTCATTTGACTCGTGTTTTTTTTAGATTACACTGATGGTACGGTCAAATGGTAATTTCTTAGAATCAGTATTTTTTGTGTAAATGCAAAGATATCTTTACATTGTACTAATTTCTAAATAATAATGAATACCCCATTTGTAGCTCAGTCGATAGTTGGAAGTTCTTTTGCATAAATATTAATTCCAGAAGACAATTTTTGGGCACATGACAAACTGTTTTGATGTTCCTTAAATGAACATCCAAATCTAAATAATAACCTTGGTTCATTTCAACTCTCTCTTTATTTTGATATATTCATTTTTATTAAATTGTGTTCTTAACCTTTGTAAAATTCACTTATTTCTTCCCCTCTGCATATATTTCTTTTTCTCCATATTAAAAGCTGTACCATTTTATATATGAATTTTGTACCGCCACAAGTGGTATTCCCTTTCAAACTTTACCACACTTTACCCATTTCAGCTCAGCTACATAATGAAATAATATAATGTGTGTTTTTGTTTTTCATTATATAACTAAAAATAAATCTGGCACTGGGAGAGTTATCTATAAAGGTGGTGTTGAAAGAGTTAATGATTTGATCGGTTTCTTATAAATTTGATCCTGTGTCAAAGTATTTATATTCAAGCCATATCCAAGCATTATTTATATAGTTATAAATGTAAAGCAGGATTTAGCACATACATGTGTGCTAATGTCAAATATACAGTTTCTCCCTAACCCTAATATTGGAAAATCATTCTTAAACAAAAATATCTAACAGAAATATTATTTTATTTGTCATTTGTCTGGGGATGTACACTAAAAAACAATGAATAATTTACTCTGGGTTAACATGCTGTCTTCAAGTACAGTTCAAGGTAATGTACAGTAGTTTTTCAGTTACCTAAGATGCCACACTCATGTTAAATTTTCTTTTGTATGACTTTCTGGTATTGTATATGTTTCTCCTACGCTGTAATATTCAGTATAACATTATGCATAACTTTAGTAGACCTACGAAGAGTTTTTTGGAACCATGTATTGAAATGAGAGCACTTGGAATATGCACCTTGGTGGTTTAAGTGCTTCATGATTCATGCCAGATGTGGGAAAGAGTTTTGAAATACTTCGCTGATACACATGCATCTATAGAGTAGTACCTCGTGAGTGGTTCCGTAAACCATTTACTTGTGCATTTTCTGATGTTACTCAATGGATATTGTGATCTTTTAACATGTGTATACAAACACACACACACACACACCTAGGCTTGCACCTAGTTATATATGACAGAATGAACTGAGAAAATAACAACTTATGCCATTTTTAGCTATGATAGTTTCATGTGCATACACTTAGAAAAGATCTGCTCGCCTATGAGCATATTTGCTAAAAATGTGTTGACGGCAGTGTACAGTTTATGCAGTGTTTTCTACATATGTAATATATCTATGTATGTTATCATGATAATTAACTTTGGCTGTTAATAATCATGGATGGATAATGTGACGAATGTTGAGGTTATTTGGATGGATAATGTGACGAATGTTGAGGTTATCGTGGATGGATAATGTGACGAATGTTGAGGTTATCATGGATGGATAATGTGACGAATGTTGAGGTTATCATGGATGGATAATGT